CGCCTGTTATCCCTGCCTCGACGGTGGTAAGGCTCGTGTCGGGGGCGAGGGTGGTATTGCCTCTGCGGTGGCTGGGGTTTAAAGGGCTTACGCTGCGTTACCGGGGTGTGCATACCCAACGACTTAAGGGTCGCACGTGAGTCCTTAAGGCTATGCAGCCTGGCGTCCGTTTGGTCGGAGAACAAGCCCGAACCTTCAAACAGGAGGTCCTGCAGTGTGGTTTGCACCTCTGGTGGAAGACCTGAAGCCTGTAACCACGCCGAACGCCTCATCACGACTCCTGACGCGATCGTTCTAGCCGCAGCATCGGCTGAGTCGAGGGAGGCCTGCAATGAGGTCTTGGCCACCGCCATCCCCTCGTCCACCAGGGCCATGAACTCCTGATGCGCGTCAGGTGGGAGGGAGTCCTTAAACTTGGCGAATGAAGCCCAAGAGTTAAAATTGTGCCTGTTCAGAATCGCCTGCTGATTGGCGATCCTCAGTTGAAGGCCCCCAGAGGAATAGACTTTCCTCCCGAACAAGTCCAGTCGCTTAGCTTCCTTGCCCTTGGGGGCCGGAGCTTGCTGGCCATGACGCTCTCTCTCGTTGACCGCCGAAACCACTAGCGAACAAGGGGACGGGTGCAAAAAGAGGAAGTCGAACCCTCTAGATGGGGCGAAGTATTTCCTCTCCACGCCTCTTGCAGTCGGTGCACTGGAGGCCGGTGTCTGCCACACCGTCTTATAGTTGGACTGTACTGTCCGTATGATCGGGAGAGCGACTCTGGAGGGGCCCTCTGGGCTCAGGATATCGACCATGGGGTCTTCCTGTTCTACGGTCTCCTCCGCTTGCAAGCCCAGATTGAGGGCTACCCTGCAAAGCAGGTCTTGGTGTGCCCGATGGTCAATCGGGGGAGGGCCGGACACCATGGTGCCCGCTACTGCCTCATCTGGCGAGGAGAAAGAGGTCGGAGCCTTCTGCCCCTCCTCAGTGTCCTGCAACCCGGCATCGACCAGTTGCTCTTCTGGGGCCTGACCCGCCGTGTGGGACTGGGACGGTACCGTACTCGGTGCCGAGTCCACTCCTTCCCGCTCCGGAGGTCTAGAGACCGTTGCCTCCTTATGCGATGGCGGGCGGTGCCGTGGGGAGCGGGATCGGTACCCCGGTGGCCCGGATCTTGAGGCCCTCGATGGGGGCCCTTGCTGGTGGTAGGCCCAGGGTGTCCAGAAAGGCCATTGGCTCGGCTGGCCCCATTGAGAATGGCTATAGTCCCTGCTGGCCTGCGACCTATCGCCATATCCGCCGTACCGGTCCAAGTCAGTCCCCGAGACCACGGACGGTGACCTGGAAGGCCACGGCGGAGCCGTAGGATGGTGCCGGTCCGGGTTTAGGGAGTAGCGCCTCCGCGACCAGGATCTGGAATAGCGTCTCGCCGATCTGGACCTGCAACGGTACCGGCGGTCGCGGGACCGGGAACGGCTACGGCTGGTCGGCCTTGGGTAACGTACCGCCGACATTTCGCGATGCCGACTCGTGTTGGGTTGCTGAGTCGGTGCCGACCGCTTGTTGAAGCCCGACTGCTGCGGTGCTTCCTGCGCTGAGGGTAACCGGGAGTCCACCGAAGCGGAGCTCGACCGGGACCGGTTCCCGAAACGGTGCCGAGACGGCGATCGTGACGGGCGCACCATCGCCGGCTTGCCTCTGTGCGGCAGCTTCGGCGGAGCGTCCTCAGCGTGTGCCGGGGCCTCGACGGACAATGCGATGAGGTCCTTAGCTGCCTCAAACGTGTCCGGAGTGGAGGGCTGTTCCAAGAGCTCCTCCAGCCCTTCATCCTCACTCGACG